CAAAATTATAAACAAAGTGTAATAATTTAATAGAGTTCGGCAGCATCTCGGTGGATCACAAACTTTTATATATATTTTAACCCTCCGTCGGTCGGCGTGGTCTGGCCAGACTTTTTTCGACTTCAATTAAAAAAAAAAAAATACTTCTAGTAATCCTATCGACTTGAAATTTCTTGACTTCTCCTAAAATTTCATTAGCTGTCGATCAATGAAAAAATCAGGACGAAAAAATGTACAGAAGGATAATTATAAGGATATTAACTTTTTTATACTTCGAACGGTCGGAAAGGTCTGTCTAGACCATCTATACATTTTGTATGAAATATACGCTTTTTAAATATATGTAAACCAGTATTTTGTCTTTTTTCATGGTATTTTCTATTCAAACTGCGTTGTATACTTGTTTATCTATGGTTGTATATATTCTTTGCTATGTGTTGTAACATAAATGTTAGTATTTTCATGACGAGAGTTCCTTGAAAACCTACCAAACTTATTGGTAATCGCAAACACTGAAAGTTGGATGAGTAATGCACACATTATCAACTATTTTTCTACCCGTACTGCGTTCGAATTTTTTTTTTTGGCAAACCTGTAGTGAAATTATATTTTCACTTTGAGTTTTCATTTGAATTTCACATTCATTTCAAAGGCGCTGAAAAAGAATAAATATTGTTTTTCATTGATATAAAACAGAAAAATTAACAACAACGATTTTAAATAAGCAACAATTTTTTTATATGATATAATATGTAATATTTTTATTATAAGCAAGCTCAACACATGCAAAAGACGGTAAGAAAAAGAAAGAATCAAAACTATAAATATTTACTACTAATAATCGTTAATATATGACACCAAAAACTCATTTATCCCATATAAATGCGTGTAAAATGAATGGTGGTCCAGCCAGACCTTTCCGACCGTTCGAAGGTGAAAAAATATCCGACCGACGGAGGGTTAATCTATCTCGTGAACACAAGACACTCTTAATTTCTATTGTCACTTTTTTTATAACCGTACTTAAAAACGAAAAATGCGAACTCAACATTACAATCACTATTTGTATAGTATAGTTGTAGTTTGTAATATATAGTTAAAATTTCAAA